AACCACTGGAAAAATCTCTTTTTGGGAAAAAACTGACATCTTTGATATTTAAATTTTCTGACCTGACTTCAGGTTGTGATGCAAATGAAAAGGCACCAAGAAGAAGACTACCACTTTGTCATTTTCATACTTATATATCACTTCTTCTCTAACCAATGAATAAATTAAGATGAAAATTACAGAAAATTTTGAAGTCAGCTTATATGATCTCAATCTGTTTTTATTTAAGGTTATCCCTGATTTTTTTTTTCCACATATGTGGCACTTCACTCAACAACTCAAATGCGCTGGTGTATCCCAGCTATATCTACTCATTTCACTCTAGGTATTTTTTCAATTGTGCAATGTATCTAAATCTCAATTGTCCAATGTATCTGAATTCATTTGTGGCTTTGTCAGAGAAAGACCCACAAAATGAGTAGATGTGTATTTCATTTTTCAGTAGAGAAAGAAATGGTTACAAGCCTATATTCTGCTATATTTCTGTTATGATCCAGTTGTTGGTGTCCCCCCAAAAGCTCACATGTAGACAATGCAGAAAGGTTAGGAGAAGAAATTACTTGGTCATAGAGTTAACCTCATCAGTGAATTAATCCCTGAATGAATTAACTGTGGTAACTGAAGTGATAGTGTGTCACTGGAGGAAGTGGAAATTGGGGATTTGGCTTTGGAGTGTAAATTTGTATATTCCCCCCAAAAGAGAGTCTCTGCTTCATGATGACCATGTAAGTTTCTTCTCTCTTCCACACCCTTCTTCCATGATATTCTGCCTCACTTTGAACCCTGAGAAATTGAGCATTCTTCCAAAGAATAAGACCTCTGAAACCCTAAGCCTGCAAATAAACATTTATTCCTCTACAATTTCTCTGGTCAATTTCTTTAGTCACAGTGTGAAAAGGCAGATTAAAACAACTTCTAACTTCATCTCACCTGAACATGTGCTTTTTGTGATGAGTTTGAACCCAGTATCTTAGATATTCTGCATGCAAACTCACAGGGAACTGTGACCCCAGCCCAAATATCTAATTTTAGATTGCATTGTATTATCCCTTACTTCTAGTGTTATTTTGGATATGGATAAGCTTAGAATATTCTAATGCTCTTACCAATAAAAAAATAAATGTATATAAATTAATCTTTGGTTTTGGTTTATACTATGATTCCTTGTTCTTTATTATTATATTATAGTTTTATAATATACATCACTGACACTTAATGATACTACTAGTTAACTTGCTTCCCTGAAGCAGAGATTTTGGGGGTAATTCATACATAATTTTTCTCCAAAGTATTTTTTCCCTTTAATCTCTTTCCTTTATCACAGAAAAATGCTGAAATTTTTTTGTTAATGTCTTTTCTTTGTTGTAGTTATACATAATACCTTTATTTTATTTATTTATTTTTATGTGGTTCTGATAATTGAACTCAGTGTCTTACATGTGCTAGGTGAAGACTCTACTGCTGAGCAACAACCCCAGATCCACATGCTAAAATTTTGATGAAAAATATTCAATATTACATTAAGGAAAAATTGTTGTATTTGTAATGATGAGTAGTATCTAAACACATTTGTGTAATTGGACCTTTTATGTCCTTGTCCAAATTTTTATTTTCCCATAAATTTTGCATATTATCTTTTAAAATATATATGCACTGTGTGAAGTAGTATACAAATATGACATTTATATAATACTGATTTGATGTTTTGTACTATGGGTTAGGCTAAATGTAGTGTGGCCAAAATGTGTCTCAACATTAGAAACCATTTTATTCACACTTTATTATTTGTATCTTCTTACAATGTGCACATTCTCTTTTCCTCCACCATACAGATTTTAACTGTGGAAAATTAATGATAAAATCTGAATGAATTAACTGTGTTAATTCATTCTACTATACTTTTATATGTTATTATGGTTTACAAGGGCAATCATTTCTATATTTTAATGCTACTGGTGGGGAAGAATCATATTTTTAAATAGGCACACAATTTAAAAAAAAACAGCAACTTACACTTCATCTGTAATTTATAAGAACATCTTACTCCACATCTTTATTAATACTGTTTAATTGTATGCATTTGGTATTATTAGATTTAGTCTTTTTCTAATTTATCAAGATGCTGATATTTCTATGAATAGTGAGCACTTATATATCACCTGTATAAAGAGGCTACTCAAGTAACTTGGCTGTTCTTCTCTTGGTGTTTTTGTCTCTTTTTTTCATTGTTCAGATAAAATATTATAGGTTTATTTAAAACTTAATTCTCACCTTGATTATGCAAAATACAAACTCCACAAAATGTTCATTTTTTTTACTTTATAGTTTACAAATATACAAAATAGAAGTTTGCTTAAATTTATATTACATATTTATTAAGGCAAGGAACTATATAGAAAAAAAATACATTTGTTCTGCTTAAGGCATACTTGGGAATAAACCATTGTACAAATTATTGCATATCTGAAACCACAGTGCATAACAAACTGTCTGCATAAAAAATGTAAAAGAAGTAAACCAGGCGTATTTACCTGACTTAGGTCATACATGTAGATCGGAAGACAAAAATAGATTTTCCTTGTCAAAGTATGCAGCAGTTTGAGAACTTTGGCTTCCTCATTTGGTACCTTTAGAACCAAGACTCACCAAGCACCATCGCATAGGCCATTAAAAAACACATTTTTTCTGTACCTGAATTTCTTCCTCTTCTTCTAACATAATAATGGCTTTTAGAAGGCAAAGAGAATACAAGGTGATTTTTATGCTTAATATGGCATGGAAACACAATTCAAGGGAATTCTGGTCTTCCTCCCCCCACCCCCAACTCTCGGATCTAATTTATACCCTGATATCCAAACTTCCAGTCACCCCTTGGCATTCTGTAAGTCCAGGCATGTTCAAGTTGGATTGAGAATTGGAATGATAGAAGATCCAGTCACAGACCCTGTCAGTTCTTTGATTTGTCTTTTTCATTCCTCCTTTCTAGTAATCATCCTTTCCTTCACAAGCTGACTCCTGGGGAACTTGACCTTGATTGTAGTACTTGTCAGCTGGGCTCCTCCCCCCCGTGGGAAGACAATGTGTGAAAGGTTAAAAAAAATACTGAATTCTCTTCTGGCAGTGTGGGTCATATCCACTATTTGGGATTTAAAAGTGCCTCTTCATGTGTAAGGCCAGGTGGTCCCACCTGGAAAAGGCCCGGTCGCACTTCTGGCACTGGAATGGGCGGTGCCCGGTGTGTTTGTGGTAGTGCCTGGTCAGTTCATCAGAGCGGGCAAATTTCCACCCGCAGCCATCCCAGTCACAGTGGTAAGGTTTCTCACCTGTGTGGGTTCGCAGGTGTGCCTTGAGATGAGAACTCTTTGTGTAGGTTTTGCCGCAACCGGCATAATCGCAAGTGTGAGTGGCAGTCCTTTTCTGGGGCCAAGACCTTCTTCCCCTCTTTGGCTTGGGTTCCTCTGGCAGGCAGGAACCAGGTGGCATGAGCTCTTGGTAGTGGAGTGGTGGGACCTGTGGCTACATCTGGTCAGACAGGAAGGGTGGTTAGTTCGGTCCCGGATGGGGATGGAATCCTGGGGGAAGCGGCAAGACAGAGTGACAGTCCCGGTTGCTCGGCAGTTCTTCAGGACCCAGGGTCGGGGTAGTCCTGCTGGGGAGCTGCTGCCCCAGGGAGAAGTCATGCGCGCTAGGCCGGTGCCCATTGCTGAGCGGGGGTCCAGCGCCCAAGTGGGCCTCTAGGGGTCGACCGACCGTGCACGAAGAAACTGCCTCCTGCTTGATCTTGGGGCACATGCGAGGCGGCCCGCTGCTGTAGGGCGCTACCACCACCGGGTGGCTGCCGTCCGGGCTGCCTTTGCTAACACTGATGACCGACGGGCTGCCGTACTCGCTGCCAGGGGCACTCAACGATGCCTTCAGCACAAACTTGCCCATCAGCCCGCCACGTGGCGGCTGCGGTTGCTGCGGCGGAATGTACACGGGGTCCAATTCGGGCCGCAGGAGCTCCGCCGCCCGAAGGGCTCACAACGTTGATGTCCGCCAGGTTGAAGGGAGCGGTGGGAGGCGGCGCTGATTCCCGGCCATAGAGGAGGCCGCCGCTGGTGCCGCCTGGCGTCACACCGGGGTCACCCCCGGCCTGGATCGGATAACTGAAGCTGCAGGTGGAGGGCGCGCTGGCAGGGCCGCTACTCAATGGGGATGAAGAGGATGAGACTGACGCCGAAGAGGACACGGTGGCGGCCACCGACTCCTGGTGGGACAATGAGTTGGAGAGAATGAAGTCTAGGTCCAGGAGATTGTTGAAGTCCTCCGTCTCCCTTCGAGGTAGAAGGGCCGGGTTGCTACCACCGCATGCAGCACTGGCTCCGCCACTCTCCAGGTCTGGGGCCACGGTCGCCACAGCCAGGTCGTAGGGGCGACCAGGAAGCACCCGGGGAAGTCGCTTCATATGGGAGAGCTCCTCTCGCCAGCGGTTTTTCGGGGCACCTGCTGGACGCAGTGTCTTCTCCCTTCCC